TTCCACTTTTCATCCCGATTCAGTTGGTAAATTCCATTTTCCAGTTGGCTCTAGAGCTAACCACGCCCCCCCACCCCACCCCCCACCCCCGCATTTAAAGGGCCCGCTTTCCACCACGGCAGCTGTCACCTGCAGGCCTGAGCCAAGGCTACTGGACTAGCAAAGGGGGCTGGCTGGCCATGGGGCAGCCCTACTCCTGTGTAGACCCAAAGGGAGAGGAAAGGCGGGCCGGGTCTCCCGGGGCCCCATGGGGATAATGCTGGAATACCTTTTACCTTTCGGTACCCAGGGCCTGAGTCTCCATTGACCTGCAGATTGTGCAAGTCGTGCACGCTAGTGCAGCGTGCGTGCAAAGCATCACTGTTCTGCTCTGGAAGCATTCACACCCACCTTGCACACGGCCACGAGCTCCGGAGAGTCAGCTCCCCGGCCCCTCTGAGCCCAAGTGGCTCAGGCCGAAGGGGCATCGGCAGAGCTGGGGGGGGGAAGGAATAGCAGGGGGCAGCGGATCGGGAGTGAGGAGTATCGGCAGAGCTGTGTGTATGGGGGGAGCCCAGGGCTGGCATAGCAGGGGGCTGTGGTCAGGGTCGAAGGGCAGAGCTGGGGGAGGGAGACTGGCGCTGCATCTCCCCACTCTCTAGCCAGCCCGATCCGTCCCCCACTTTCGGGAGCGCCCGGCTAACCCATGCTGATTCCAAAGGGTCGTTTTTCTTTCAGCGCCTGGGCTGCTCCCTGGCCCACCCACCCTGAGGCAGAGGGGAGCCCAGGCCCGTGTGATCAGCACCCGCCCTGGGCGCTGGGCTGGCAGCTCTCTCTGGTCTCCCTGGCTCTTCCTGCTTCCTGGGGGCTCTGCTGACAGTATCACCCCCAAACACCCTAGGGACCCCCCAAAATCTCAACCGAATCCAACCCCCCCGCAGGGCTCTCTCACCTCTCCCGACCTGTCCAGGAAGGATGCCGGCCTCCTCTTCTCCCCACCACAGAGGTCCCAGGGCTATGGGGACCCACAGCCAAAACTTCTCTGCCCTGGGCTATTTAAAAGGGAGCAGCCTATGCCTCCCTGCGCCTGAGCGGCCGCCAGCCAATGGGGCTGGGGGAAGCCTCAGGCCAGATTAGGGATTTGGTTTTCTTCCTCTCCAAAGGGACTCGCAATGGTTTCTAAGCTGGGCTCTGCTCACGGGGGTCCCATTATTCCCCATTCAGGCTGGGGATTAGACGCGGGCAGGGGTGGAAGAATGCAAAGGGTTGGGCTGCTGCCCCCCCCACTCACCCCTCCCCCCACACCCTTTTCCTGGTTCAGTTGTTGGACAGACGGCAGGTGGCGTTGCCTAGTGAACGGGGCAGCCGGGGACTCCTGGGTTCTACTCCACTGGCCTCCTGTGTGACCTTGGGCAAATCACTTCCCCTCCCAACCCCACACACTTCCGGGCCTCAGTTTACCCAGCTGTGGAATGGGCATGGTGAGCATGGGGCTGGGAGTTCCTGTCTGCAGAGTGAAGCCTTTAACTGCCGAGCATTGAGATCCTTCCCGGGTGTGCTGTGGGGAGAGGGAATGTAAAAGCTGCCCCCACACTGCAGAGCCCACAGCAGGGGTGGGGCTGGAATGGTGTGAGGCATCACACACACAAACATGGACACACACACACACAAACACAGGCCGTCGCAGCTAGTGAGGGTTTTCTGGTCGGCTTCCCCTTCACCACCAGCTTTCCACGCAACCTCTTGAAGCGCCGTATGTAACAGCCCAGCCAAGACCAGGTGCTGCTCAGGCCCAGACCGAGAAACAGCCCCCACTCCCCCACCCCTGGATCTTCCAGTCCACACGGACAAGACAAAGGACTCACTAACTCACTCCTCTCCTTCGAGGCAGCAGGGGCACCCCAGATCCCACGGCGAGCTAGCAGACAGTCCGGGAACCCAGCGCCCCTGCTTCCTAGTCCGACGCACACACGCCCCACATCGAGCTCCCCCGGGCCCCACGGGAGTCACCAACTTATGGAATTTCATACAGAATTTTTTGATGCTTCTTTTTGCATGATTTTGCACCCCCGAACAGCCCTACAATAACAAACCAGTGTACTAAACCTAGATCCCACAAGCCACCCTACAATAACAAACCAGTGTACTAAACCTAGATCCCACAAGCCACCCTACAATAACAAACCAGTGTGTGGAGGCCACGTTCTTATGAGCAACCCTACAATAACAAACCAGTATGTACAATATTGATCCCACAAGCCACCTTGCAATAACAAACCAGAGTACATATGATTAGTGCTTATGGGCAACCCTGCAGTAACAAACTAGTGTACACAACCTAGTCCTCATGAGCTACCCTACAATAACAAACCAGAGAACATATGCCTAGTTCTTATTAGCAACCCTACAATAACAACCCAGTATGCGCAGCCTAATTCTCCTGAAAACATTATGACGGCAAACCAACTTGCATAGCCCAGCACACACGAGTGACCCTACAATAACACACCAATGCACAGCTGATCACCTGGGGGCGGGGGAACAGGACAGGGCCTGAACTCAGGGAAATAGATTTGAGTTTCTGAGCTCCACGGTTATTTCCTTTTTTAATAACAACAGAGCCAGGGGGATGCACAAACCCCAAATACCTTGAGAGCCCCCCCACCCGCCTCCCTGCCCTTTGGAGCTGCACACATGTCTGGCCTGGCCACGGCCCCTTGGGCAGCTCTCAGTTCCTACCCACACGCACTGCCCCCCACCTGGCTCATGGTGGCTGTCCAGCGAGCCGCTTTCGCCAGCGATCACGCCGGCCCATTCTGGCGGCCGTTCTTTGGCTGTCAGAGCAAATTAACTTCGAGCTAAATAATCAATTAGCTGATCCCCTTCTTGACAATCCCCCGGCCCTTAGTGAGAGGTGGGATTAGGGGCCAAGGGGCCTTTGTCTGCCAGCCACCCGGGGGGATTAGCAAAGATTTGCTGTTTAAAACGCGGAGGGGGGGGGGCCGATTTCATCCCAACTTCTCCCTCCTCTGCTACCCCACGGCTGGGCTGGGGGAGGGGAAGGGCTCAAGCCACAACGGTTCTTGTGAGCAGCATCTCCCCCTGGCTGGTGTGACGATGCGGTTCTGGCGGAACCCAACTGAGAGGGCCAACTCAGGACAAATTGTTCAAACAGGACAGTTACAGCCCTAGGCTGGGTTTTTTTCCACCTCTAAGGCAAACCAAACCAGCCAGAAAAGAGGACTTTGGTCTCACCCCACTGGCTAACCACAAGTCTCACAAGCAATTCCCTTAGACACTCCAGTTTCCCAGTATTACCACCAGTGCCACTCGTTATGGGGACAAATGGTTATGAAAACCAATACCCAAGTAAAAGAAAAAGGTTCTCCTGATCCCATAGGACCAAGCCCCAGACCCAGGTCAATATACAAATCAGATCTTACCCACAAATCACGCTGTTGCCAATCCTTTAGAATCTAAAATCTAAAGGTTTATTCATAAAAGGAAAAAGATAGAGATGAGAGTTAGGATTGGTTAAATGGAATCAATTACATACAGTAATGGCAAAGTTCTTGGTTCAGGCTTGCAGCAGCGATAGAATAAACTGCAGGTTCAAATCAAGTCTCTGGACTACATCCCCCGCTGGGATGGGTCCTCAGTCCTGTGTTCAAAGCTTCAGCTTGTAGCAAAGTTCCTCCAGAGGTAAGAAGCAGGATTGAAGACCAGATGGAGATGAGGCATCAGCCTTATATAGTCTTTTCCAGGTGTAAGAACACCTCTTTGTTCTTACTGTGGAAAATTACAGCAAAATGGAGTCTAGAGTCACATGGGCCAGTTCCTGCATACTTTGCTGAGTCTCAAGGCATATTTGCCTTCTCTCAATGGGTCCATTGTATAGCTGATGGTCCTTAATGGGCCATCAAGCAGGCTAGGCAGAGCTAACACCAGTCTAGGATGTCACCCAGCAGCATAGCATAAGTTTGAAATACAGACAGTATAGAGCCAATATTCATAACTTCAACTACAAAATTGATACACACATATAGACAGCATAATCATAACCAGTAAACCATAACCTTGTCTTAGACACCCCATTTGACCCCCTTTATACAAGATTTGCGTGCCACTACAGGACCTTGGCTGCAACAATGATCTATATGGTCCCAGATTATATCAATAACGTCACAGCTGGGTGGCAAGGGCAGCCCTGTGTCGTCACTCACCAGCCCCATGCTCTGGCGTCAGCCCCCTCCGAGGGAGCAGGGATATTTCGACTGGACGCTGAGCTGGTCCCAGTTTGTCCCCCAAACAAGGTTCCCGTCGGCACATGCGGTTTGGCTCAGCTCATCCTTTTCCACCGGGAAGCGCCGACACGCGGTTGAGCTGCCGGTCGGGAGAATGGAAACCAAAGCCACCCGCCGATGGTTTCACTTCTCTCAGTGGCACTGCCAGGGGCATTGGACTCTGTATGAGAGCAGCAGCTCCTAGCAGTCTGCGCTGATTGGGCCCCCACGATGCTGGAAAGACACAGAGTGAGAGGCAGCTCCTGCTACAATGAGCTTCCCACCTAAATAGCCCAGACAGATGACTGGTAGGAGACAG